TTTCAATATTCTTACGAAAAATTGTGATTTCACCTATCCTGTTTTTTCCATATATATGGAATATTTGTAATATATGTGTGTCATGTTTTCATTATCAAGAATAACATTTCTAAGATTTACTAATATTTTCAATCTTTTTTTTTTTATTGAAACTGTGGTCAAATCACTCCATCTTGTTTTTCCATGTGAAATTTTATAATACCTTTGTGTTATGTTTTTTTTATTAGCTACTAGTACGTACCCCGTGCGATGCACGGTCTGTATTTATTTTGGTAAAATTTCTAATTGAAAGCTATTAATCAATAAGTTATAATACATAGAACATTTGTTAGGTAGTCGTAAAAAAGATCATCATGAAAAAATCATATATTACTAAAAAGCTATTTGTTTTTCCATGCAAAATTATTTTTCACTTGGTAACCGTAAATCGATATTTACCAAGATTGCTCTCCACTTGGTAATTGTGAATTGCATAGACACCTCATTCCTATATTTTTTTGTTGATTTTCGGAATGTTACCACCATGAAATAAAACTATAGTGAAAATATGTAATATTGATAGATACTAAAGATATGATTATCTGGTGAAGTTTAATTTTATGTCAAGTATAAGAAAAATTGTTACCTTAAAGTTAAAGTGTGGTATTTGAGTATATCTTTTTTTTTTGTTTGTCAATCATTCTCATTTTTTATGCCAAATTCATTCCAAAATTGAGAACAATTTTGTTTTGTTATGTTTTAACAGAGATTTTGAATTTTGGTTGTATCTTTTGTAAAACAAATTTATAAAATAATTATGTTTAAAAAAAACAACAGCTATATTTTATCATTTGTAGATAAAAAATAACTAAATGAATCGGAGGACATGTAAATCACAGTTTTTATATGAAAAATACGTTTCATAAAAAAAATGATAAGAAAATGATTCAAAATGATAAAAAGAAAATAATATATTATAACAAAAAGATGTTTACATGAGTAGTGGATTAATGAATCGAAAATTGTGGCAAATTTAAAAACATGTTACGATGAATGAAATAAAATCTTTAGAATATTTTTTACTTTTAATTAATTTGCATATATTGCATAACTATATATGAAAAAAATAAAATATTTAAAATTCAAATAGGCGACTTATTTATATGTATATAATAAAGTGTATAGTCCAAATACTTAAAATTTTATTTAGCATTTATATTGTTAATATTGATACCGTGATTATTGTAAAGTCCAACTCTCATTTTTACGGTAAACTTATATTATATTAAAATGAATTGATAAGTCTAAAAAGAGATATTGATAGAATTAAAGAGATTGAATCGTGGCTAAATATCTTGATATTATAATTATACTGTTTTCAAAAAGATATTCCATAACATTTGATTACATAATAATAATGCGTTTAATTATAATTGATTCCAAATAGCCAGATTTAGTGTTTAATCAAATATTATGGAATATCTTTTTAAAAATATCTAATTATTAATATATTTTTTGTTTCTTATTTATATTTTATTTTTATTTTTGCCAATTGACAATATTATGTTTGATCACATTGTGCACGCAGATAATTTTTTAGATATAAAGTTGTGAACTTAACAAATATCTTATGTGGTTCACAATCCATATAAACAATTGACATTTATCAAAATTTATGTAATAACAACATTTATGCATTGTAAATGCTCTTATTTTGTTTTACATAATTTCAAATATACTTCTATTCATTTCAAATAAAATTCATACTACTTAAATTCGAACATTTCTTACCAAAAATAAATCACTCACTTTATACCACCAAATCGGATATTTATTATTAACAACACATTTTCTATGAAAAAAATAAAAATGGCTATCAGATACTTAAAATAAAATCATCAACTTTATACCAAAATTGGATTTATTAATTTTGTCAACTTTATACATAAATTAATTAAGTATTTTCTAAAAGTCATTTTTACATTTTGTCAAATATATTTTTTAGCGGCACATAAATGTTACTTATATTTTTGTATTTGGTTACCTTGTCTACGAAGAAAAAGATAATCTTGCAACTCTATTATATCAACAAAAAGATGTATGAAAAATAACATAAGTATTGTTGTAAATATTAAGTTATGGACATTACCTAGATATAGGATTTGTAGGCATGGGCCAGGAGCCCATTAGGTATTTACTCATGTACATTATATTCCATTATATATAGGGCTCAAGTGAATGAATAAGATGATGGTTTTTAACGGCGTATCTCTTCTCTCTTATTCTCTTCTTCTTCTACTGTTTCTATCTTTGTCTATTTTACACATAGATTTTACATATTGTCAATCTATATTACAACACGTTATCAGCACGAGTACTCTACCATCTAAGCGAATAGTGGTGGCATCAAGACGAAGGGGCAGTCAAGGTATTATCTCATCAGTTTTATGCTATAAGATCGATCAAGCCCGTATGATTATCAAGATCACAAATTATTTCGTCTTCTGCATCAAGTAAGTATTTCGTATACACTAAATTGTTTATTCAAGATGCATGATTATTATTTTGAATATATTATTTTGTGGATCTTTCTAGTACCTGATGTTTTTCTTCTTTAACTGTGAACAAGTAATGAATTAATGAGAAAAGAAAATCAGAAAAAATTATATACTTCTTTTATTTTTAAAAGCCGTGAGGGTAGTAGGAATTTTTTTTAGGGGATTGATAGATTGAATTATTTGTTGGAAGTATTATTTGCGTGAGGAGTTGCATTGGGATTTTACATATTGTTTGATTTGAATACTTTGGGTTTAATGGGAATTTCGCAAATATATCAACTACTAGTATTCAATTGATGTTTTACGTCTGCTTATTATTATGCTCTGTCAATTGATGTTTACAATTAATTTGATGTATGATCGCTTGACTGACTTGTGAATATTTTTTTTCCGATCATAGTGGAAGCATAATTTGTTCGCACCAATTGACAGTCTTAAACTATGGCTTATGATGAATTTTGTCCGCATATATATGTATATATATTTCGCGATTTCCACATCTAGTATCTCTGGCATATTTACTCTCGAATTCTAGTTGCTTTGGAGGAATTATTTGCTGCACCATATTCTTATGATGTTGAGGCTGTGTAAATAATTTGCAATGTTTATATTCTATTTAGTATTTACACATGAGATTTATAATTTAGAATTGAGAATAAATCTCTGTTATGTCATAGCCTTTTGAACTCCCTATAGTGACCCATGAATTGTTATGAATTGCAATTTGTTATAGCATATGAATTATAGTTTGGCCGAGATGATTTGAAAATTTTGAAAAATATTTGTGTCTAATGTTTTTAGTGCTACAAAAATTCATGTGATCTTATAAGTATGTCTATTTTGTATGAGAGAAAGATTATATATAAAAAAAATATAGTGGAAATATTGGATATATATTATTGATGCTACATAGCTCAACTTATGATCATCTTTATAATATGGTTGGATCAGAAGATAAAATTGTGCAATTATGGAATAGTGCAATATTATTAGTGAATATCTATCTATCCAAATTTATAAGGTTCAATTGAATACTAGTAGTCCCAGAAGGACACTAATATTAAATATTGATGGATAGAATAATTAGAACAATGTTTTACTTGTCGATAGCTTGTAAGTCGACAAAGAATTTCTTATACACTCCCTGAAGGATCTTTTACGAGTTAACGATAATGTTTTTATATACTCCCCGATGGATCATCATCGACGTAAGTATCTCCCATAAATTCAAAATAAAGTTTTGGTATACTCCCTGCAGGATCAACACCAATACAAGTATCAAAATAAAATAATGACTACACTGTGAGTAAGTCTTGATGACTAATTTTGAATTAAGATGATATTGAATATTTTATGATCTGTTATGAACAGTTTGTATTCCTGAAGTAATACATGAGAATAATGAAATCCAACCAAATCAATATTCATGGACACAATATATTACAAATAGTGATATAACAGTAGTTTATTGAGATTATATTAATGCCAGAAGCACATATATAAAAGTCTAATTGTCATATAAGATATCTGATAGAAGATTGTCTTTCTTCTATATGACTATATGTTTCATTGGTTTAATTGTCTTATATGAGCATCTCTTGTTTGATATGCATCATATCATTCTTCACATTACTTGTTAAGATTTGATAGTGATA